TGTTCACCAGCAGCACCAAGGGAAGGAGAGGAGCTGCCCACGGTGTTCACCACGTGCCCACGGTGTTCACCAGCAGCACCAAGGGAAGGAGAGGACACCGGCTGCCTTGCTGCACCAGCCTCCTTAGCACTAAGCAATCCCTAGCACTGCCACCTCCTCCCCAACACCCACTTCTTACCATTTCTCTCCACGGGTGGAATGGGGTCTGATGGATAGACTTACACTGCAGCTGACATTTTGCAGAATGGAGAATTTAAAAAGTCTAAATTATCCTCAGAAAAACAAAAGCTGGCATTATACCAGAAATCTAACTGAGGATTTTTCAACACTTATTCTCAACAAGGGCTATCCTCTATGCAGCTTCCSCTCATGTAAAACCATCACACCAGAATTTTTCGTGAGCTGCAGCTATTGCTGGCCTGGCTTTGTGGCTTGTCTGTGGGTTTTGTTTTCTTCAGCAAACAGGTTGCAGCAACACCAAAGTGGTGCCACATACTGCAGCAACAACTGAAATCCAGCATCCCATTGAGTGCTCAGATTATCCAGCTGCAGGTAACTAAAATGTTATTTGAAATCAAGTTATCTCAAATATGAATATCACTTGAATATCACTTTGGGATCTCAAATATGAATATCACTTTGGGAAAGTGATGGAGCAGCTCATCCTGGCTGCTCTCTCCAGACACATGGAGCAGAAGAAGGTGCTCAGGAGTRGCCWGCATGGATTCACCAAGGGGAAATCCTGCTTGACTAACCTGATCACCTCCTACGAAGGAATATCTAGCTGGATAGATGAGGGCAGAGCGGTGGATGTCATCTATCTGGATTTGAGCAAGGCTTTTGACACTGTCCCTCACAGCATCCTCCTGGGCAAGCTCCGAAGGTGTGGGATAGATGAGTGGACGGGGAGGTGGATTAGGAATTGGCTCGATGGCAGGGTGCAGAGAGTGGTTGTCAATGGTGCGGAGTCCAGCTGGAGGCCTGTACTTAGTGGTGTCCCCCAGGGGTCAGTTCTCGGTCCGGTCCTGTTCAACTTATTCATTAACGACCTGGATGAAGGGCTGGARTGCTCCCTCAGCAAGTTTGCCGACGATACCAAACTGGGTGGAGTAGCTGATAGCCCTGAGGGCTGTGCTGCCATCCAGAGGGACCTGGACAGACTGGAGGACTGGGCGGCGAGAAACCTCATGAGGTTCAACAAGGGCAAGTGCARGGTCCTGCACTTGGGGAGGAATAACCCTGGACACCAGTACAGATTAGGGGTGGACCTGCTGGAGAGCAGTCCCGCAGAGAGGGACCTGGGTGTCATGGTGGACGACAAGTTGACCATGAGGCAGCAGTGTGCCCTGGTGGCCAAGAAGGCCAACGGGATCCTGGGGTGCATTAAGAARAGCGTCTCCAGCAGGTCGAGGGAAGTGATCATCCCCCTCTACTCAGCCCTGGTGAGGCCACATCTGGAGTACTGCRTCCAGTTCTGGGCTCCCCAGTACAAGAGGGATGTGGAGCTGCTGGAGAGAGTCCAGCGCAGGGCTACGAGGATGATCAGGGGCCTGGAATATCTGCCCTATGAGCAAAGGCTGAGAGAGCTGGGTCTGTTCAGCCTGGAGAAGAGGAGGCTGAGGGGGGACCTGATCAGCGTGTATAAATACCTCAAGGGAGGCAGTGAGGAGGAGGGGGGCGGCCTCTTTTCAGTGGTGGGCAGGGATAGGACTAGAGGAAATGGCTTCAAACTGAAGCATCGGAAGTTCCACAGGAACTTAAGGAAGCATTTCTTCACTGTGAGGGTGACAAAGCACTGGAACAGGCTGCCCAGAGAGGTTGTGGAGTCTCCTTCTTTGGAGATCTTTAAAACCCGCTTGGATGCAGCCCTGTGCCCCGTGCTCTAGGTGACCCTGCGTGAGCAGGGGGGTTGGACTCGATGACCTCTGAGGTCCCTTCCAACCTTCGGCATTCTATGATTCTATGATTCATTCTATGATTCTATGAAGTGCTACTTTTATTTTGTATTTTTTAACTTGAACCTTAACACAAGGACAGTTTTCTTTCTTGACTCCTCAGGCTTGCCTTCTGCTCCACCTCAGGCCAATCAAGCAGGCTCACTATTTCACAAAGGAAAGAGGCAGGACATAGGTACACCACACTACCTTCAMCCTTATAAAAATAACCACAGAGAGCGTGGCCAAGACAACTTGTTAAAAGTCAGAAAGAGCCCATACAAAATATCTGCATTGTATCTGCAAACCAGGTATCCTATCYGTTTTAAAGAGGCCATGAATAAGTATGTCAGCTATTTATCAAACCCCTCATCAGGAGYGCAGCTATAGTTATTTCACAGTTAGGGCAGCGCGACAGAAAATTTCTTTGCAATAAGAGTGTACTAACATCATTCACAGCTTAAACTAAGGGTTCCAATTAGCCCAGAAGAGATTAAATGCCCATTTATAGTTTCTTTCTACAGTATCACATGACACAATTTTCTCAAGGAGTCATTAGAATGGTACAACTGAGCAATAGATTCCATATGCTGGTTTTGATTTTGTTTGTTTTTAAGCAGAGGCCGCCTTGGGAACAGCCTCCCCTCTCCTCATGGTCTCCTCTTGAGCACACAGAGCAGAGAGAGCAAGAAGCAATCACTACTTCAGGAATGTGATGCTATAAAATGGGTCTTAATGCATTTTAGCTGCACTTGGTAGCGAGCAYGAAAGTCAAATACACAGCAACAGCACTGACCAGCTGGAACTATGGATGGCCGATAGCCTAAAAAGCAGATTAAGGATCACAGCTGTGGATCCCACTGACAGTAGACAGTGCAGCTGGAGACTGAACATTAAAGCATTTCCCCTTGTACCTGAGGTGTTTCTGTTATGCAGCATATGAACAGACAAACCAGTGTGGTGAGCACACAAGAAAATGCAGTTGAAACATTAAGATAGTCAGAGGTTTTTGATTCTAATATAAAATATTGCATTCTGCTGCTCTTACATCATTTTTCAGAAGTCTAGACAGACTAAGGCTAGCTGGGATGTGTATGAATGGGGTTACACCAGCCAATATAACACCAAGGAACTTGAGTTTCTCCTTTCTGTAGCATCATGACCCCTTGAGCAGGTCAGGCTTAAGGTCTTCTGCCTGAGCTGAAAGCCAAGCTTAGGAACTGCTCTCCGAGCGCTTCAGAGCTCAGATCAATCAGTAAGACCAAGGTCCYGGGGAGCAAGAAAGGTCAGGCAAAGCACAGAATATTAGGCTGTTAACTCTCATAGAGGTTCAGTCTCAGCCAAGACGCTAAACATCAGACTTCCAGCAGAAAGGTTAAGGGTGGGTTCTCACAAAGAATCCATTGGTGTCTGAAATGGCTTTATCAGAGGTTTTGCTGAAGACAGGAGAACAAGTCACRAGTTATCAAGAGTTCGTCTTTCAAACCCAGTAATGGACACTACTTCCTTAAACTAAAAAGGAAGACTAAAAAGGATGGGTAAGTTGGAACTTACCCTCTAGAGCCTCTCCTTCGCTTTAAGCTTTTGTCAGCACAACAGATACTGCAGCATCATCAGAATTTCTACTGTGGCCACAGTTATGTAGGAAAAAGGCAATTTCTATGGATACCTACMTGGCTTTGTGTAAAGATGGAGGTGACACGAATACCTACCACATCTTCACACTCAAGATTAGGACATGCTAGAGTCAACATTCCTACAGAGGTTCCCTGCTAAGACCTGAATGTATCATCCAGTCTGGAAGAGTTAAACATGAAAAAGGATATTAGGGCTGTCACAACTCCTGTCACTGCTCCCATCATGAAAGAGCCACTGAATATTCCCAGGAAAACACCAACTGATTTGAAAAATGCCGCTGCATCAAAAGCATGTGTGTTTTCCCCTGTTGGCTGGTAGGCAACTATCGATCTAGAAAGACASAGTTACAGAAGGAAAAGTTACAACCCGGCATCAAAAAGGTTTTATTTTGTGAAYAGCAGTGCCTGAATAACAGAAGGGATCCCCGTGCTGAAGGGGAATCTTTTCTTTTTACAGTGCACATGTGCATAAAGGATTTTAGCAAACATGTGCAATGTTTGCTAACTYGCTTCAAGATAATCCACTTAAATTTATAATAGCACGTCTCAAAAATAATTAATTTTAGACACGTACATGGAACAATTCCGTGATTTCACAGTAGAAACTGGGGCGGTTACTTACGAAGATAATACAATGGCAACAGCATCATTCAACACACTCTCCCCAAACAGAAGGGCATAGAGATCGACATCAGCATGCAGCTCATTAAATATGGCCAGCACGGTAACTGCAGAGAGAAAACAAAACAAAACCACATATGAACACACAGCATACTGGCTGGCTTCAGGATTATGGCGTGACTGACAGAGCAGGCTTTCCAGTGTGCTTAAGGCAACAAAACCCAGGAACTGAAACACAGGATGAAAATCAAAGTGGGAAATGGATTAGTCAAGTTTATCAGCAGAAAGTGGCTCCGTGGGTTTCTCTAGAAAACTAGCGGAAATCCCCAAGATCAGTGGGGGTAGCTGAAGCCCTTTACTAAAACCCTGGGTTATTTTTGTACGGTATGTTCTGCTTAAGGTAAGCAAGAGAAGTTGTGCACCTTTGATGGCCTTTTAAAGTTTTGTTAAAGAGTCCATGTAGCCTTATTACTTCAGGCACTGTAAAACGGTGCTAACAAGCCCAAGTGCTCCCCAGAGCACACACACTGAGTGCGAGGAGGACAAGGCTGYTCAGTTTTTATAACACTCCCTCCAAAAGCCTTTCAGTCCCAAATAAAAGGCAGGGGTCTCCGAGACGTTCCTATGCAGAAGCAGGACCTGTCTTTGCAGAAAGACAAGGCTGGCGCAAGCACCTGCYCTTCAGAGCTCAGCTCAACCACAGGGGCTACTTCCCATGTACACAAACCAACCCTAAGCAGGTCAAAGAACCTGCTCTAAAGCCTCCCACCTCACCACGACCTGCCCTCCACCCGAGACACACTAGCTCTCCAGGGTGATTTGTCAAACACAGACATCTGTGTGAGCCTATTTTACCTGGAAGGGTAACTAGGATTTATACCAAAATCTCTAACTAATTTACCAGAAGAATACTATTCTGCTTAAATYTGTAATATATATATACATGTATATGTACAATATATATACAGCTCAAGAATTACCTGATGTTGTAAATGTAGCTACAAATGTCCTGCTACCCTGACAGTAAAACAATATTTGCAGTCCGAGACTTAATGCACRTTTAAAAATATTAAAAATAAAATATTTAAACAGAAAAAAATGCCTTCCTCTGCAAGCATATCATCATATCACATCAACCCAGCACCAGTCTGATAAAGAACAGCTTTCACAACAGCCAGGATTTTTGTGCTTTACACAGAGGAGAATCAGAGATACTCACATAACTGAAAATAAAAATTACTATTAATATCTTTGTGCTACACACTCAGCAAACCTACTAATAGAATCATTTGGGGACACTACTAAAAACTGCTCAAATTTTCATTTAAAAGAACTAAAAATTTTGTATTCAYTTGTTTATTAAAACCTATTCAGCTACCTGGATCAGTGGCAGATATTATGGCTCCAAAAAGGAGGCAGTCTGTATAGTAGAACTTATCYGACAGCTGTCCCACCAGCTTCATTAATTTCACCACACCATACATGAGATTCCTGAAGAGAAAAAGGATAAGAGAGAGTGTTTCAAAAAGTTGGGGTGGCTTCAGAGAGGCTAAGTCTAAATTGTCCTCTTTTCCCCTTGACTCTGCATCAAGTGAGGTATGAACCAGTTTATCTTTTAAAAATCAGTCAGCAAAGTGTGTCATCTGTTCACTATTAGTATGTTTAATCTACAGATTGGTTCTTTTTTTTCTACCACAGGGAGTACTTCCCTCCCCCAAGTCCCCCTCATTGCTGTTTCTCTCAACACAGTACACACACACACAAAAAGCTCTGCAGTAGGAGCATCTCCTAAAGATGTTAGCTTTTCCATAATCCTACGGACAACAAGCTAAGACCACCTGTGCAATTCAAGATCTCTGTATTTCAGCATATTCACACACCAAAGATGCACAGCAATATTTGCATAATAAATGATTTTATGCGAGTAAGCCCCTATGACTAGTTACTTCAGGTTAAATGTGTGCTTGGGCACATATATGCACAGAAATGTGTGCATAAATAAAAATGTGTGTCCATATATATAATATACACACACACAATATTGCTCAAGCAGGGTCACAGAAAGCAGATTGGTTGCTCAGGACTGCCCATATTAATATACGTGTGTGTGTATATATATGTATAATGTGTGTGTGTGTGTGTGTATATACACACACATATACATACACACACACACACACATTCCTAYGGGCAATTCTGAGCAACCTGCTTTAGGTGGCTCTACTTGAGCAGAGGTGTTGGACCGGATGGTCTCCAAAGGTTCCTCCAAATCCCATCTATCCTGGGAACCTCTGCAGGTATGTATGCACATACGTTACATATGTATATATAAGAGACCTGAAAGGTACCTTTCTAAAAATCTGATAACTAAATTCTACCATAAGTAGCACCTCCAATCTAGACAAAAATCAGTAAGACTCTAGTATGTTTTGCTTTGGACTTAATGACTAAATCAAAAACGAAACACAGTTTTTTAGTATTCTGGAGTTGTCAAACAGTGATTTAAAGTCAACAATATTATTTAAATTGACATAGCACTACTTAAAGTATGAGAATGTGCAGCAAAATTCAATTTCGAATTTTATTCGGAAATACATAAATAAAATCATTTAACAGACAAATTACAAAATGAAGGCAATCTGGACAGCTATATATTTATTTTATCAACTTAAGCTTCAATATAAAATGGAACTGAAATAACAAATTTCACTCACCCAATAATGAAACAAGAGACTGCTGTTCCTAAAAAGGCATAAGCCAAAATGGAGCCCAAATTCCTGAAAAAGTGTCTCTGAATAAGAAAGAAAAGTACATATTYATTTAAACAAGTGATATTGCCCATTCAGAAATGGACAGTACAGTGTTAGAGAAATATGTGCAAAAAAAATAGCATTCCAGATACAGGTCTCAGTTACTGCAATGTAAATTCTAACCAGCTTTAATAAATTGAATGAAGCAAATTTGGACAGTGTATTAAATGCTAACCAGGGCTTATTGGCAAGAAGCTTTCCAAACAAGTATTTATAAAATAAATACAAGAGTTGGCTGCAAATCTAAGAAAAAGCTGGCCCTACATCAGCAACTGTGGTATCTTCAAGTGAAAGCACCATCTGGGCCTTATGGCCATTCACACACACGGGCCTGTGCCCACTTCTCAGGGAAACTTTCTGCATTTTGGCCATTCAAGAACAAGAAGAATGTCTCATGGCAGGACATTCCCTCGTCTAAATACACAAAWGTTAATCAGGGACCATGTGCAAAAAAGAACAAAGCAAAAAACAGTAAGAGCAAATAAATTTTAAAGCACTTGCAATAAGAAATAATACCTTTCTTCTTAAAAGGTCTGATCTAGCCAGCTGAGATTTCTTACTTGTCTAAAAACACATGTTGAAATGGAAACTGCATTCCTGAGCAGATCGGTGGTTCTCACATTAAAAAGAAACGGGTATTTTCCCCAGAAATTGACTGGACTTACCTTCTTCAGGCTATAACCGGCATGAAAAATAATAGGAGGCAACAGAATGTTGAAAAAAACTTCTGGATCAAATGTTACCTAAGAATAAATTGTGAAACCTCAATTAGGAACAGATCCACAAATTGGTCTTTTTCCTCCCTCTCTCTTCTTTCCTCACTCTCTCTTTCAGTATTGAGAACTGACTTTTGCTTGTTGAAASAGCAAATAATTTGCTAGGCTGAACCTCCAAAACAAACCAACAAAGCCTTGCAGATTTTCATGGCAAGCAGCTACCAGATTAACAGATATTACTATATAATCMTCAATGATAGTCTAGCAACGGCCCCAAACAGTGTCCCTTTCTAAAGCTACAAACCAAAAAACACTCCCCCCTGCTCCCCACACCCCTTCCCCAATTCTAACAGATATTACTCTGCAGCAGATGCCCCTTTTCACAGTAGATCATTATATTGTATGAATTTGCAGAGGAAATTTATAATGATTTATAAATTTGTAGCATTTGTAAATGACTAGCTACTAGCACAGTCATTACAAGCCAGTCGAGTCACAGACACAAGACTGGTTTTCAGGAAGTATCATCCACCACTTGCAAGCATCTCAGTGGAAGCTGCAGATACTCATGAAAAGTATAAACTGAGAAAAGGGACAAAATCAACCTTTAAAATTCACATGACCTGCACACATGTGAGATTAGCTATGCCCTCTTCACCCACTAAGACCCGGGCACAACTCTGCACTCGCTCTGTGAATGGCATTCATTTCATTTAACACCAGATATCTACAGCAGAAAGATGTATAGAAATAGTCACCTAAGATCTCTTTACAAGCCAGTATAAAGTATTATTTTTAGGTTATAATCCTATAGTTTCAAAACCTATACCTCTAAGTCTACCTTTGCTACATGCCCAAGGTGTTTAATTCCTGACGTTGAAGCCGAATAGCAGATGTGAGCTACAGCTGGCCAGATGAACTCTACTCCCACTGTCAGACTGCCTCACTTGGTGGACTATGGGGCTGTAAAGCAGTAACTATTGCCTGAAAATAAACAGATTAAACAAACTCTAGGAAAGAAGTTACTAAAAATAAGCAGTAATCATTTTTCCTTATACTACGTTACACAAGGAAACATCATTTTTCTAATATAGTTGATCTTAGTGAATTGAACAGCTATTAGCAACAACCAGTAAGTTTTAGGTAGTGATGAATGCATCCGGGAAAGCACTGCACACAGGTACCAACGCAGAGCTCTGCTGGTAGCAGTATAATGCATATAGYGCTTCCAAGTTAAGCCTTGAAATACTGTTACCATAAGAAATACAGACATGTACCACTATCTAAGCGCTACCTTCAGCTGGGAGGGAGGGGAGGACGGATAAAAGGCACGGAGCGGGAGGCAGGCGGCCGGCGCGCGCTCACCTTGCGCAGCATGTCGCTCTGCTCCACGTTGTGGATCTTGCCGGGGCTGATCTCCCCTTTGAGGGTGTACTCGAAGAACTTGCCGCTCACGTTGACCAGCAGGGTGGTGAAGGGCCGCGTCTCCTGCGAGCAGCTGAAGGGTTTATCGTGGCCGCTCGTTGAAGGAGTGCCGTACCTCAAGATGACCCCAACGATGAGACCTGGAAGAGAAATACAGATCCGTAAGGCTGACTTGCCTCTCCTGCAGGAAGCTTCCAAGGTGCAAACCTCACCCGAGGCATAACGCAGGGAGCTCACAGGCTCACGGGCGTCATAAACATATTCTGCAGGCAACAGTGAATAGCAGCTTCTTACAAAGGAAGAGAGGCCCTAACGTGTCACAGCTAGTGGTAAGTTTGTAAAATTTGATAACTGTCTAAAGAGACTACTAATACTTAATGCCACGGGTCTTCTTCCTTACCCCATTTATACCTCTAAAGGGTAAACCACTGAGCCGGGCTACAGGCACTAAGACACATAAAATACATATCACTTTTAATCTACCCCCATGCAGATATACCACTACACTGTGTGGATTTGCCATTGTTGGAAAATAACGACTGTTGCCAGCACATTAGCATGAGCAGCTGAACCTGCCTYCACAGCACTCTGGAGCTGCAGCCTTCTTGCCTGGCAATTCCAGGCGAGCAAACACCACGAGGGGCAGGGTCTCCTGCTCTCCGCACCCGGAGTGAACCCCAATTCCGACGAGGCCCCAAGGAGCCAGCTACGTGTCTTTTACAAGTATTATCCATAATTCACTAAATAACACAGGATGAAATGAGCAATCATAAGRCACATGAAACTTGAGATTAAGAAACAAATATTTATATTACTCAGTCAGTCTAAAAAAATGCCCCTTGGGAAGCACCGATAGCAGAGAGCTGCGTCGCAGGCCTCCGCATGTGTGTTTGTCTTAAGCTGACCCTGCAGGTAAGGGAAGGGCCCGGCCAGCGCTGCAGGCTCCGGAGGCACCGGAGCTGAAACCAAGGCCCTTTTCCAGCTCCAGGCCTCCGGAGGGGTCGTATGAGAACATGGACACAAACTGTTCCCGYTCCTGCAAAGATTCCCTGTCCCCTTAAATAATCTGTGACAAACCCCCCAGGCAAACAACGCCAAGGTGAAGATGGATGGTTGTTGGTAACAATGAGGTTTCTGTCCAGACGTTGGTAGCTACTGCCCGTTTTGCTCTCTCTGGCCCACACTTTGCATCGGTGCATCTGTTTCCCAACGGAGCAAATCAAGTTCAGCAGACAATAACCAGGGGAATACATGAGATAAAGATAAAAGTGTTTTTTTTGGTTAAGGGATGGTCTAAAGGGCAAGCAAACATTAGAGAAAAGGTCAAACATAAGAACACTCCTCATCATCTTTAAGTTCAGAGTAGGGGAAAAGATTGCTTTAAAGCAAAAGAAGTTTTGTGAGGTGTGACACTCCAGCGGGCAGTTATCCCCATTTCCTTTATGGTGGAGAAAACACCCTGGCAAAGAGATCACTAAAAAGTAATCACAGTCAAGATACAATTCATGTTGGTGAGAAGCATGTAATCAGAGAAAAATGGGACTAGTCATCAAACGGTGAGCATTTAGCTGTGGAATTTTATACCAATCTGTTTTTTTGTGATCTCAGGACACGTTACAAGTGCAGTGGCAGCGCAGAATGCCACAGAAACGCAGCCATGTGCAGAAGGACACAGCACAACCCGCCACCTCCAAGCCATGGGGATGGTTCCCATAAAGGCATCAGCCAAGCCAGCAGAACATCATTCTCCTTAAGGCAGCAGGAAGATCATCTGTGTTAAAAACTGATCTAATTGGGATGAGTTAAAAATCCTGGGGTAAATCAGAAGGAGAATTGTACCCATTTGGCTACACGTAACAGTGGCACACACAGACAGGCCCAGACTGCGACTCAAGTGAGGCCTGAGAGGGGAAACCGGTGACAGATGCAACAGCTCTAGGCTCAACAAGACGATCATTCAATGAACTCATTGCAAAAGCAGATGGGAAAATCTTACTACCGGACTGGATATAATCCTCTTATACGTTTTCCTCCTTTAACGGATGGCTGCTGCACAGAGCACCACACGCGTTGGGAAGGGCTGGCYGCGGCTGTTGGCTTCATCCTGCCATCCCAGCCAGCACAACGGAGCGGGATGCAGCCGAGCGCTTGGCTTATCCTCAGGGAGGTGAGTGCCAAGGCTGCAGGATGTCACCAGAAGTGGCAGCAGGCCAAGGCAAAGTGCAACCGAGCAGTTTAACCTACCCTGAGTTTGTGTCAAATGGGAACAGCTCTGAAAGCAGAAGAGGCCAAACAGGCCATGTGGATCCCACAACCAGCTTCATTAGCACAAAAACTAGGCAAGGGACAGCTCAAGAGCTGAGCTGGGAGAGGGGAAAGCTCCCTGATCTTGTAAATATAGCTGTATGCCTGTGCCGTTGTCGTACAGTTCTCAAACAAGAGGTTTTGTATTAAAATTGTGTCAATTAAGCACCTTTGACATCCGCCAAGTGACCTGCAGAAAACKGGAAACCATCAGTGTTTATCCCAAGCCCTTCAAAGTCTTTCAGGGAAAACTATRTAGAAACATCTTCATTTTTCCACTAAATGTCTTTTACATGCAAAGAGGTTCCTGGAGTCAAGCGGCTTCTACATTCTGCTCTCACCTGATAAAGCAGCATTAAGACAGATTACACATTTACTCAACCCCCAACGGATCCAAACAATTAAAAACCCTGAACAGTTTTCAGGCAGTTTATGCTGAATGCAATTCAGGCATTGAATAGTCTGATTTGTAACTTCAGAACAGATGCTCTAAGCTCTACACTGGCACGTGTTAACAAGAAGGCACATTCATCCTTCATATTCTCACTAGATAATTTAGTTAAAGCAATCCTGGAAGGTCAGTGTTGCAGCTTCAAAGACTTAGAACTGCTCGGTGGACAAACCCAGCAGACTAGTGTTAGTCTGGCAGCAATCTCTAGCTTGTTAACATAAGGCCAGCTGAGCCCAGTGCTGTCTCCTACATGGAGGCGAGGGGGAAGAAGGGCTGCTGGAGACTAAATAGTGCTCGACTTCAAAGTGGCTTCCTCAGCACAAGGGCTCCCTGCTGARGAGCTAATGAAGAACACGGATCGACAGGGCAAATATTTGCTGGGAACACTGCAGCTCTTTGGAGGGAAACCTCTAGGGCTGCTGATCTAACACTGCCTTTTACTGTAAGACCATCAGAAGAGGAAACGTTGGAAGTGGGTTACAGATCCTTTAAAAATTGGGAAAGTCCTGCTTTCCACCAACCGTTGCAAGGGCAGTTATGTCAGCACTCACAGCACATCTCCAAAAGAATAATCTCCAAAATTAATACTTCCTGTGCATTTGTAACTTCTATTCTCACTTCTTACACATCAAGCATACAAGGCTTGATACCTTACCCGAATGCTGCTTATTGCATAATAGGCAAGAACATCCATCTGGCTGTAAATAAAGCATGAAAAAAGTATAGGAATACTTTTTTTTTTTTATCATCATTAGTCGTCATCATCATCATTAGATTTTTATCATCTATTAGAATCATTAGTGCTAATTAAAAAAAAAAAAAGAAGTTGGGCAAAATCAGCATCGGTCTGAGAACGTGCCATTTCAAATGACATTCGCCTTCGTTTGTGCACACAAGTCACTGAAGTGAGACTAAGACTCCAGATGCCAGCAGTGTTTCTRGTCAGAACTGAGGTCTGCTTTGGTTTTCCCAGTGCTTTCTAAAGAAAAARAACTGAGATTCAACGGGTTTCAGCAACTGCAAGTGCATCCAACCAGTGTGTAACTTAAATTTCTTCTGATACTGTTTCTTTTCTATGTTCCCTGTAAAAAAAAAAAAAAAAAAGAGGCACTGAATACTGAGGTTTTAATTGCATGCTCAGTGCAATCTATATTACCTGCAATTTAGCATTAAGAAGAGATAGGTAGAGATTTTACCACTGTCTACAGCTACCTGATTGGAAAACATAAACAGCGAGACAGATATCTCAGAATTGCAGTGATTAGGATTAGAAGCAACAAATGAGYTGAAACAACCAGAACTAAATACACAAAACTATGAAGAGGGTATATACCAGGACAGAGAGGTGTTATCTTCACCCTTGCAGATAAGTAAAACTTGCCTGAYCATAGTCCTGAACAGCCTCATTTCTTGGACATGCCCTAAGCAAAGGGTAGGAGAGGATTTCCATTGTGTACCTTCCAAAGGGCCTTATTCTATAATTCATACCCTTCTTCAGTTAACGTCAAGCTGGCACCTCAGACAGGCACTTTATATTGCAAAGACTTCTTTAAAAGCAGCTCTGTTATTTCCTGGGGCTGTGTCAGGGATTCTGGGGCTTAGGATTTGCTTTTTGTTGTTGTTTTCTTCTTTAAATCACAGRGGCAGCACTGCTGATTCTGCATGTGCACGTCAGGGAGGAACAAGGGCCACAAGTTCCCCTCTGGGATGCAGATACAGAAGGACCAYGTCCATGTGCTGCTAAAGCTGGAGCTACACCAAGCAGGGACTGTGCTACAGTAGCAACAGAGCAGCAGCTTGCTAGCAGCCTGTTTTCTCTTCCAATGCAAGAGAAGCTTTGCTACTGCTACCAAGTCACTGCTGCCTACCAGCTCCTTTGCCTACTGATAGGCAAGTCAAGCCTATAGGCAGCGCACTCAGAGATAAGGCCCAACCTGCCAGGCCCAGCAAAGACAGGGGCAGGGCAGCCCATTCTGCACACCAGTTTCCTACTGACTCAAGGTGAGGGTGGCTGAAATACTTGTTTGCTTTTGAAAATCGATACAACAGAAATGCAAAAAAAAAAAAAAAAAAAAAAAAAAAATTTTGTAACATTTAAAAGTCTAAAACTTTCCTCTTTATTCACAAATTAAATTTCTTACCAGCTTGATGACCAAAAACAAGAGGTGAAGAAAAACTTGCCAAGAAAGATAAAGGAAAACCATACTTTCATGTTCAGGGCAAAATTCTAATAATTATACACAATACTAACACCATAATTTGACTATAAGTGTATGCTATATACTTATTTTACTATAGGATGTTTTTTTATATATATATATATATGCGCATCAAGTTATGACAGGTGTACTGCGTTGTTTTAAATAATGCAAAACGCCAACAGAG